CCTGAGCACTGCCCCTGCGGGACTTGCAGGGCGAGGGGAACTGATACAAAGGATCTCATATTGCTTGATGCGCCCTGAGTAATAAAAGTCCTGCGTTTCTGACCTAGGGGTCTCATGTGTTATGCCAGCATCCATGAATATGTGGCAAACTAACTTGTTAGCCTGCAAGTAGATTAAAATCCCACTCTTTACTGTTCTTAATAGATGCAAGTAAAACTCCAAGATGTAATATACTGTTTACAATAGACAGCAGTGTCAGTGACATTCAGGATTTTATAACCGAAAGGAACCATTGGATCTTCTAGCTCCCAATTCAGTGTTCTTATTCTAAAGTAACATACCCTAGAGAGGTAAGTAAAACTGTTCAAAGTAACCAATTTATCAGCATCAGGAACACTGTCAAATTGTCTTTGCTCCACCCCCAGGGGGTTAAACCACTACCGTTTAACATGTAAAGGTTAAAAGTAATGAATAAAAAATTGTGTATGAATATTTCAGAACAGTAAGCATTGAAATGTTTGTATGCTCACTTATTTTTGAACTTTAGTATTCGTGTGGGTTCCTTTGCACATGTGTGAGTACTCACACAAAAAGTTCTTCAATGCCTGTAAAATCTTCTTTGGCGATCTGGCCCTACAGACAACCTGAATGACACTAGACTAACAAAATATGGTGGGTGCAGAATTAACGAGAACTTCTTTCATGTATTAGATACATCATATTTGCATTTTTTTCCCTTTCTTGCTCATAATCGCAAACTTCTCGGTCATTTTATTTACTAATGCATTTTAATTTTAAATTCTAAATATGGTTCTCTTTAATGGCTCTATTACCTTGTATTTCCAACTTATTAGTAAGACAAGAATTGGCAAGGCATTTCATTTGTCCTGGCTTTTCCTTGAGTCAGTAACTACAAGAGCATTTCCTAATTATGTCCAATGAATGTGGAACTAATTACCTACAGTTAGTCAGACTCAGCTTGTTTGCTATTAAAATCCTGGTTGCCGATTCACATTTGCTGATTCAGCTTCTATTCCTAATTACTCAGATTTTATAATTTAACTAGTTTTTTGCCTTACTAAAATTTTTAAAATTCAGGAAATGTTATCAAATTGTGAATAAGTGGGAATAGGTTTATCAGTCTAATGTCTGAGGAAAGGCAGCTGGGCTTTAAGGGGACCCAGTGTACTAAACATTCATTCAAAATACGTAGAAGACAGAACACTTCATTAAGTTATTTACTGCAGGCAAAGGAGAAGTTGGAGAGAGAAAACAAGACCAAATATCTAAACATCAGTTTTTAGTAAGGAGAGCCGATGACATACTGAGTTGAATGTTCATTGAGTTTTCCATAAATTACCTAGGAGAAATGCAAAAAAAAAACAAAAAAACCACCACCACAGAAGTCCGATCCTGTGCAGAGTTTTCAATTTTCTTCTCACAGGAGAGTATATTAAAACATTTTAAACAAGTGATTTGTATATTTAAAAAAAAAATTCTTTGGAAGTATCTAAAGAATATTTTTAAAAACTGACTCTGTACCGGGCTCCAAAGAAAAATCTCAATTTCCAAAGTAGAAATCAGATCATACCTTTGAAGATCATAATGCATGAGCTAGAAACTAACAATGAAAAGATAGCAATAAACGTTAACAATGAAAATTCTTAAAAATTTTAACAATGCCCTTCTAATTAAATCTGGGCTCAAAGAATTGAGGTATCTAGACATTAGAAACAATATATCCATAAAAGATGGAATTCAGAGGAAGATTTTAGGGTCAAATGTTTATATCAATGAGAAAGCCTGAAATTAAATTGGACCTGAGAATTTAACTTAAGCCAAGGGGAGAAAAAAATAAAGCCTAGTCTGTAATGGAGTAGGAATTAAGGGAACAAAAAATTGGCAAACCTGGTCAATTGCTAGTTAGGAAATGTAATATTGTAAAAATCCTATAAACAAAAGAAATTCCTGAAAATAAACTTAATCTATATAAAAGGGCTTAACAGAGAAAAACTTAATGCTACTGGATGTAATAGACTTGAATGAAGACCTAACATGTTTATTGGCTAGGGAAACTAAGTATGATACAGAACTCAATTGTCCCTCAATTATACCTCGATTTAGAGCAATTTTATCAAAATCTCCAAAACGTTTTTTAGTTTGACCAAAGTGATTTGTAAGTATATGTAGAGGACTACCTGAAAGAGGTGAGCCAATACAATTCTGAAAGTGAGTAATAAAGAATATTTTAACCAGATCTCAAATCTTACCATAAAGCTGTTTATCATTTTTCTATGGCTATTTAACAAATGACCAAAAATGTAGCAGCTTCAAACAACATCCATTCAGTGGTTTACAGTTGTCGGTCAAAAGTCTGGCAAGTGTAGGTGGGTTCTCTACTGAAGATTTTACAAGATTGAAATCGAGGTGTTCGCTGGCTGAACTCTCGGCTAAAGGATCTGGAAGGGAAATCTTCAAGATCGCTGGCAGAATTCAGTTCCTTGAGGATGTAGGACTGATGCCGCTGTTTTCCTACTGGCTGTTGGCCAAGGGTAGCCAGCAGCTGCTCAGACTCTTGACACTTCACTCATCTTCAGCAAGGGATTCTCCCTCCAGTCCCTGCTTTTCCTGCTGCAAATCTCTTCTTCTACCACTGGATGGAGAAAACTCTGATTTAAAAGGGCTCATGTATGTCAAGCACAGCACAGGGAATAGCCAACAGTATTATAGTAACTATGTGTGGTGCCAGATTTGTACGTGAATTATGAAGGAGGGAGGGGATCACTTTCTAAATTATATAATCAGCTAACCATTGTGCTGTGCACCTGAAACTAACATAAATAGTGAATGCCAACTGTAATTGAAAAATAAAATTTAAAAAATTACCTAATACATCTCAGGGCTCATGTGATGAAGGTTCAGGCCACCCAAATATTTTCTTTCTTAAAGCCAAATGTGCCATGTAATTATCATAATTATAGTATAAATAATAAGTATCACAGAGGTAAAATTTGCCATCTTCATTTAAACGAAAGGTGGGACATCTCAGGGGCCGTGTAAGCCCACCGACCATACTGGAGTAGCGAACAGTGTGGTTCTGCGCCCGATGGCATGAGCACATCACAAGAAAAACAGGACTGTTCATAGCATGTGCAACGTGGTGTAAGCTACAATAGGTCTTCCAATCTAGAGAAAATATGGGTTTAATTGATAGTTTGGGGACCCATGAACATCAACTTGGGAAAAATAAATTCCTACATCAAACTATGTATCAATTCCAGGTGGATTAAGATTTTAAATGTAAAAAAGTAAAATGATAATAGTGCAAGAAAATGAGTATCTTATAATCTTGGGATGGAAGTGCCTTATAAAAAAAAATGTCTGCGATAAAACTCAAACAAAAGAGATCACAGATTACATAAAAGTATCTGAACAGCAAATGATAAAACTAAAATATAAATGACAGATTACAAAAATTATTTGAACACATATTAAAAAAAATTATCATCCCAAATATGTAGAGCTCTTAACAAAAGCAATAAATGGAAAAACACCATAGGCTTAAGAGAAATCTTCAAGAAAACAAATGTGCAGGCAATAAACAAGTGGTTCAAACTACTAAAAACTAAATCAATGTAAATTACAAATCATCATATTTTCCCCAATCGAATTGCCAAAAATTAAAATGATTTGTAATCCCCATTTTGGCAACACTGCCAACCATACATTGCCGACAGGATTGTAAATTGGTCCAAATGTCCTGGAGGACAATCAGACCATCTATATCAAAAAGTACAATTATTTACTCCTTTTCATACAATTCCACTTCTGGGACTTTTAACATTCAAATAAGGATGACTGTACATGTATGTTCAATGTGTGTGTTTACTAAGAAGTAAAGTATTAACCCAAATATTCACCATTAGGAAATGAAACAAATTACACACTGAAATTCTGCTGATATTAAAAATCAGAGTACCTTTATATATTCACATGGAAAGTAACCTGTATCAAATGAAAGTAAGTCCAAAGACTATGAGTACTTTGATTGCATTTATATTTTAAAATATTTTCATGTCAATTTGAAAACTCTAAAACTACACATGAAACTGACAACAATACTTATTTCTGGGATGCAGAATGTTACATGGGGGTGTGGAGTCACGAGGGAGGGTGGGGAGACACTTTTGCATTTGGAGCTTTAAAAAATGAATATATATTAATTTTGTAACACAATGTGTTCCTTTTTGGATGAAAAATATCCAAAGACTATCCTTGTGGTGACTGTATTGAATAAAGCAAGTTAAGAGATGCAGTTCCAACCACTTGGAAGTTTGCCATCACTGACACACTGATGGGATAAAAATACTTGAAAATGGCATCATACATGGGCAAAGCACTTAAGGCACTAATTGAAGCAATGTGTGAAAAGAGTCAGCATATCCTATCAGAGGCAAAGTGATAACATTTGAAGCTGCTTTCCATTTTATCAATTCAAAACTATCTGTTGGTGTTTTCACTGCTAAGCAGCTTAGAGACAGGGCGTAATCCCAGCTCTCAGGGAATTTATTTCGTCAAGACAGACTGATCAAGAGACATGCTTCATAAACAGGTACACGGTTTTAAACAATGCAGAGTGCTACAAGTTAAAAAAAATCGTCAGAACAATTATGATTACACAGCAAGCCCAATTAGCTCACTTCAGTCTGGAAACACTTTATGTAGAAGGTGGTATTTGAGACAGTTTCTGCTCCAGTGTTTCTCCCCACCTCCTCCCCTGCTCACCCCACCCGCCGTGCGAACACTGCGCTTTGCCTGGACCTGCGAAGTGACAGTTCCTGTGGCTGTTTCTACACTTGGTTCGTGCCTTTCAAACTTATCTTTGACTTACGCTTTGTTTTGTATCTCATGGAAAAAACTGTAAGTGCTTCGAGAGTAGAAACCATTTAAATCATCTATTTATTCCAAATGATTAATGAGGTGCCTTGCGAAGTTGGTGACTGATAGGAATTACAGCAAAGGTAAGCAGTCTGGTTTAGGCCAGGGGATTTCTGTGAGCAAATACTGAGATAAAAAGATAAAACCTAGGTTAGCACAGCATGTGACAAATGTTTTGAAAAATATCTGGAGGCTATCATCATCAGAGGTTTTACATCAGATAAAAACAACAGTCACTGTATTCTAGGCAAGGCAAATACCAGATCTGCTTTTTTAAAGCTCATCACATTGTGAAAAAGCATGAATATAGTTTCAAGTTAAGCATGTTTTATTTCTTCAAAAAAGCAAATTATTTTAAATTCTCTAAAACACAAATGACCAAACCACCAAATGAACAGATACAAACATGTAGGAATTTGCTTACTTTGCTAAGCCACATTGTATTTATTCATGAATAGCAGAACTTTGAAACTTCCTTGGTACTTATGAAGGGGAATTGTTTCACTAAAACTTAATTTTCTATATTAAGTCAGACATGATTACAATTATGCATTCAAATATAAAAAATTTTAAGGAAACATTTATAAAACTTCTGAGTATCCCCCTATATTAAACCCTGAGAATACAGCTTGTTTGAAACTTTTTTTGACTCATCCTTCCTTTAAACCAGTGCTGTCCAAAAGAAAGATCATGTGAGCCTTGTGTGCACTTTTAAGTCTTTAAGCAAAAAAAAGTGAAAAAATTGAATAATTTTAACATTTAATCCACTATACCAAAACTATAGTAAGTTCACTAATATACAAAACTGAAATATTTATATTCTTTCTTTGTACATCTTCAAAGTCTGGCATGTATTTTATACGGACACCACATCTCAATTTGGAGTACTCCCGTTTCAAGGGACCAATACTCACCTGAAACTAAAATGTATGGGAAGATACTGGCTTGCACCTTTCCACTGGAGATTACTTGTAGGCAAAGACTGCAAACTCTGTGTTCTACCACTGTAAATTTGGATCAAGATATACTACAAGCAGAATTCATAAATTAACAGAAATTAATGTAAGACCAGTGCTGTTTCTGATACTATGTAACTAGCAACAAAAATGGCTGCTACTTGTAGTTGGATTCAACATTCACTCATTTAAGATGCTAACACAACTAACAGCGAGTGAACCATCTTCTTTTTCTTCGTAGCACTTTGCATAATGAGTAATTTTCTGTGTGTTCTTACTTTGACTGTGTGCATGTGCATCTGTTTCTCCTGACACGCCATGAGGAAGGAACTGCACTCACTTTGTTTGCCATGACAGCCCTGGACCTCAGTAGAATGTGTTGCACACAGTAGATGGCCAAATACCTGTTACATGAGTGAATACTGCCATGCGTTGATTATCAGCCTGAATCGGCTTATCATTTCATTACTCAGTCTTTCAGTAGTTAAGGCACGTTTGACATTTTCTCAATGAAAGCAGTGAACAGCTGTCTCTTCAGAACCATTTCCAGCAACCTAACCCAACTATGAAAAAGTACTGGGGAAATTCCCCGCTAACCAGAATCTGATTTATCCTGTCTTCACCAGATCCTCTTCCTCTCACACACAACAAAAACAGAACGGCTGAGGTGCAAGCACGTACAAGAGAACACCCCTCTCCACAACCTTAGACTCAGAGAAGAAACCACCACCGAACGTGCACCTGGAAGGGAAGGACAGCACACTGTTTCCTGCCATAGCCAGCAGGGACACGGTTCCTCGGGGCTCTCGAGGTTTCAGAAGTTCCCATGGCAAACCATGCGAAGTTAAACAGAAATACTGTAGTCGCCACGATAAAGGAAAATCTGAAACTGGTAAATGCCTTGAATTTTTTTAAAAAGCAAAAAACAAAATGGCCTGCAATTTCATGATAAAGAAGGTAATAAACCAAACACCTAAGCTCAAATTCGTTCTTTAATGATGATTAACACTGCATTATGAAGTCCTTTTGCTAGTATTGGGATTATATAAATAATTTTATTTATCACGTAAGAGCTGGAAGAATGCAAGAGTCGAGACTGAGAGGAACGCTTATCTTTCGTTTGGTATACAATAAAATGGCACTTCAATAATACTGGCATTTTCCAAATGATCAGTTCTGCAATTTTAGCATCAAACACTCAACTCCTAATCACTAGTTTCCTGTTTTAAAAACTATTTCCTATCATTCACACATTTACTCATCTACTGTGTATAAATCAGCCTTTCGATACTGAATCATATTTACAATGCAGTTAAGAAAATTACTTTTTCCTTTTTTTTCTAGGAGAGTGTTCCAACAGAGGGGTAAATTCAGCCTCCTCGGCGTGCTTTCTTTTCTTTTTTTTCTTTTTATGGTCACTTTGGTAACCACTGGAGTCACTGGCTTGAAAAACAGGGTCCTGGTCCTGATCTTCCTGGTGCTTCTTTTTCTTTTTCTTCTTCTTCGGCTCCTCATCCGAGACGCCATTCACATTGTTAGGCAAGTGCAGGTCGGTCTCCTCCATCACGACGTCTGCTAGACCTCCTGGCTCTGCGGCACTGCCTTCTACTTCATCTGGCTCTGGGTCTTTCTTCTTTTTCTTCTTCTTCTTCGGGGGTTTTTCAACAGCTTCTTCGGAGCCAGTTTCTGTTACTTCTTCAGAAATAGCACAGCACTTGGTTTGTAAACTACAAATTAACAGTTTAAAATGTTACAGAGTGATAAACAAAAATTAAACAACCAAAAAAAAGAGATCAAGAATACCCCAGTATGCTGAGATTTTTCTAAATAACAGCAGTATGAGACACATAACTATGGCATAAATGTCAAATATTCTTTCCTATTACCCTCAGCCCATTGAAATGTTAAAATTACTGTATCCCAAGTACTTCTTCCAGCCTGTTTTCACACATAAACATGACATGAAAAGGTTGTCAGAATATGGCTTCTAAATTTTGGTTTTGTTCAGAAAAATTTGGTCACTGACCACCAAATGTCACAATACCCAGGTATATCTGCCAAACTACTGACATATGAGAGAGAGAAAATATACTTCTGTTATGTATCAAAATAATGGAGTTTCCTGTCTACTATTTCAGTCCTTGTTTCGAATAATAGTTCCCTGTTCTTCTTAACCTATGCTGAAGCATACTACTTCACAGTTGTGAACTAGATCACTCAAATAAAAACAAGACTCAAGAAGCCAGCCTTCTTTCTGGAACTGCACAGTCCTATAGAGTAGCACTGGTCACATATAGTTATTTAACGAGATAACTTTAAAAATTCAGTCCCTCAGTCACACTAGCCACATTTCAAGTGCTCGATCATGAGACTACTGAATTGAACAAATTCAGCACACCTCTGCCATCACAGAAAGTTCTAATGGACAGCTGCTCAAGAACTTGAGCCTCAACTCTTGTTACTTATCAGGGCAGAATCTAGAAAAATTGTTAAATTAACATCAGCGGTATTCTAAGAGTTCCCCTACCCCCATTAAAGTTGGCTCTCCAAGCTTAAGATTCAAGATCAGAGTAATTAAGAATTCCAATATGGAAAAACAGAAAAATTAAACAACCTACCTGGCATAATGACAATAATCAAATTATTTTTGTTTCAATCATATAAAAATAAAAGCAGGCTAGTAAGTTATACAATATGATTAAGCTTTTAGTAGTTTCAAGCTCAAGGGATCCACTATTTAAAAAAAATAACAACAAACTAGAAAATACTCAGCAAAACCGAGTTATTACAATGCAGACCAGTTAGCTAGGTGTAGAGCTTTAGCATATTTAATACACTGTTATAGCACTTAAGATTACTATTTACAATGACTTTCTGGTTTGAAAGCATAAATACTCTAATAAAATTACACATACACACACATACTTTTTTTTCTTAAAGAGGGTTTACGGTCTCTAAATTCAGAATTAAATAGAAACAATTAAGTATCAAAATGATAATAATGTGATTAGCAACTGACCTAGTGACACTTAGTTTTCCCCGAATGCAGAACACTCCAGCAGCATCTGAGTCTAAACGAAATACTTCAAATTCTAGTTCATCACCCACATTTATTTCCAGGGTCTGCCACTGCTCGGTTGGCATCTGCTCAGGTTTAGGGATGGAGGCATTGAAACACCCGTGGACTAAACAGCCAATGTGGCTGGAAGACACTTTATTAACTGTGCCCTGAGGAGAAGACAGAAGAGTATATAACATCAAGAAGAGATCCAAAGAGTTAACAAGTAAATCAAACTTGGTAAGCTTCAAACTGATTTTCAAAGAGAAAAACATCAAATAATGGCATAGTTTGATATGAAAAAGTTTATCTCCAAACTTACCGCACGTCATACTAAAACAGTTTTAGAATGCTGTAGAACTTTTAGAAAACTCAAACTTTATTAAATAAGTAATTGCATATCAACTACTAAGCTGGATACACAATTAATTGTCTATCCCTCCACCTGCCAAAAAACCCACCTCAGCCCCCATCTGAAGATTCGAGGGGAAGCAGAGTACTCTATAACCGCAGTCAAATCAAGCAGAAGTTACTCTTTGATATGACCTACATGTGAAAAGACACGCAGGAAGCGTGTGCTTCTTATCACTCGGATCTATACTGCATTTCTATAAAAAGTCTGAATTTCAAAACTTAAAAAGCAGCCCTGGCTGGTGTGGCTCAGTGGACTGAGTGCTGGCCTTCAAACCAAAGGATCGTCAGTTTGAAGTTTGATTCCCAGTCAGGACACGTGCCTGGGTTGTGGGCCAGGTCCCCAATAGGGGGAGCGCGAAGGGCAACCACACACTGATGTTTCTTTCCCTCTCTTTCTCCCTCCCTTCCTCTCTCTAAAAATTAAAAAGAAAATAAAATTTAAATCTTTAAAAAGCATTCCAATTAGAAGACAGCCACCCTTTATATGTAAATCTTGAGTACAGCTGTTTGGACTAAATCACAAAAATACTAGAGGCTTTAAAACTGAAATACAAGTGTGTGCCATACAATTTTAAGCTTGAAATGAGTATTTCCAAGAAACTTAAGTTTTCTGTTCTTCCCCTAGGAATCAACGTAGATAAGGTACACTATTAAAAACCTAAAATATTTTTAAAAATCCTGTATTTTGACTTATAGAATTATAAACTATTAACACATATACAATGCTGTTTCATGTTAGCAACTCCTTATACACATAAAACGTTGTCGTCATTATCAGGAGACTGGTGTCCAAAATGGTATCTTCTGCATGGTCTTGACAAACTGTGGTATATCTATAAAATGGAACAGTATTCAGAAATAAAAATAAATGAGCTATCAAGCTATAAAAAGATATGGAAGAATCTTAAGAGCATATTGGTAAGTGAAAAAAAAAATCTGAAGAGGCTACACGTCGTATGATTTCAAATATATGACATTCTGACAAAGGCAAAACTACGGGGACAGGAGAAAGAGCAGCAGTGTAGGGTCCCAGGGCGAGGGAGGCAGGCATGAACAGGTAGAGCACAGAACATATTTAGGAAGTGACCAATTTTCTACTGAATTCTGTAATGGTGGATACCAGTTATTACCGATTTGTCAAAACCCATAGTATATACAACACAAAGAATGAACTCTAATGTCAACTACAGACTACATTCAATAAGGCTGTATCAATACTGGCTCAACAACTACAGCATGTACCGCACTAACACACGATGTCAGTGATAGAAGAAACTCTGTTCCATTTTTCTGTATGTCTAAAACTGCTGTAAAAAAATAAAGTCTACCAATCAAAATACATTCAGTGGGGAAAGTCTTTTCAATACATGGGTCTGGAATAACTGAATAGCTAATGGGCAAGAAAATGGATCTCAAGAGTCTACCTCATACTATGCACAAAAAATTAAAGCCTGATCACAGACCTAAATGGAAAAGCTGAAATGACAAAAATTCTAGAAGCTTATAGAAGAAAATCTTCAGAATCTAGGAGCAGGCAAGTTTCTTAGGATCCAAAAAACAGTAACGATAAAAGGATGCTATGATGAACTGGACCTCACCAAAGTAAAAGCTCCCAGAAATGCTAATTAAAACCATTATGAGAAGCTCTTATATGCCCACTAGTAAAATTAGAAGACTGACAGCACCAAATGTTGCCAAAGATGTGGAGCAACTGGAGGTGCCAAATAGTAAGTTAGCCAAACAGCAACTTTTCATGAAGTTAAACACACATCAACTCTGCGACCTAGCGATTCTGCTTCTAGTTTTTAATCTAGGAGAAATGAAAATGTACATTCACAACAGCTTCACTCCAATAGCTCCAGACTGAAAACTACCCGGTGTCCACCAATGAAGATGGATAATCGAACTGCGATATATTCATTTAACTGACTATCATGAGCAATAAAAAGGGAACAAACTATAACACACACAACAGCATGGATAAGACTCGCATTGAGCAAGAGAGGCCATTTTAGAGTGCGTATTGAAAAATCCCATTAATATGGAATCATAGAACAATTTTATAGAATTATAAAACATGCAGGAACTAATTTATAACCAATGAAGCCACAACAGTGGTTGTATCTAGGAGAGAGAGAGAGAGAGGGGTGACCAGGAAGGGCCTGAGAGCCATTTCTAAGGAGACACAATGGTATATGCCTTTGTCAAAAGTCATTGAATTGCACGCTGTGATCTGTACATTTTATTGTACGTAAATTATTCCGTATTATTAAAAATAAATAAAAATTGGGAAAAAACCAGTCAAATGTATTTAAGGTCTGGATTTTGTTGTAGGAAACAATATAAGGGATAATTTTACTTTACATTTTATACTTTCTTTACATTAGAATGTTATCTCCATGGACATGTTTACATTTGTGATAATTTACACAAAGCAGATGACAGTTAGGTTTAGGAATTTTTAAGTACAAATCTATAACCAGCTTTAATAATATGAAGGCTGGTTGTAGGATTCCAGTTTGGCGGTCCAAATATACTATTTCTTCCTGTTTAATTGATACTGAAAAAAAAATAAAATTAGAAATGCCATGAAGATTTTGTGATAGTAAAATCTAACCTATCTTTACATCAACAATATGAAGGTTTAGTTATCATTAGATAAAGCATTTCTATATTTTTTAGGTAAGAAAAAATTATATACATATGAGTAGATATACATATATGAACATATACATACAGAATTGTTGATGGAAGAGAAGGGCAAGAGAAGAGGATAAAGGACTACATTTCAACAGATTTCACATCAATTTTCACATTTCCAGCTTCTCCTGAAGGCTAAAAGGCCTTCCCCCCAGGTCCTCTCACTCATGGCAGTTTGACCCGAACCACTCCCCCATCCTTGATTCATTTTCAATACCTGCCCATGGTCATTTTAATTTGCAATTCCTGCATTACATACTACTATATGGTTTGGATCTTTTACTTTATGTTTACTTTTTTTTTAAGTATTTATTTATTTTTTCAGGGAGGGGCATGACAGAGAAAGAGAGGGAGAGAAACATCAACTGGTTGCCTCTTGCATGCCCGTAACTGGGGATCTGGCCCACCACCCAGGCATGTGCCCTGACTGGGAAATGAACTGGCGACCTTTCATTTTGCAAACCAATACACAACCCACCGAGCCGTACCAACCAGGGCGAATCTTTTACTTAAATAAACTAACAAGCAAAAAACTGGATTTATGTATAACTGGGAAATTTTAAAATAATAATAAAAATAGATCTTATTTTACACCTTAAGATCATTCTGGTGCTATACAAAGAAAATAATAAATTGGATGGACACATACTGTATACATGCATGTGAGTTTTAGGACAGTAAAGTTTTAAAACTTACCTAGGTTGAACTGATGGGAATAAATTTTTCCTTTACCTTTTAAAATAATTTTTAGTTACCCACAAAAACAGTCCTAAGGCATACAGTCTCTTAAGTTTCCAAATTATGTAATTATGTAACTATATGAAAAAAAAAAAGCTAGGAAGAAGATATACGTACCATAAGCTTCTGCCCTGTTTCAGGGCAGAAAATAACAAAATCTGCTTCAATATTAAGGTGAATGTATCCTTGATCATCATAAATATCTCCCAGTTCACCCACTACTTTGATGTTATCATATGCAATGGGGACACCCGAAAGGCTGTTTAAAAAAAAAAAGAAGAAAATTGGTATATTTTACTCTCTTTTAAACTAGGCATTATTGTACTGATTAGCTATTCTGAGTCTAAAAATACATCTAACTGTAGCCACCCAAGCCAAAGACACTATATAGGATATGGTTAGTCTGTAAATAACTTTTCTATTTCATTTTCACCAAGCGTTCAAATGGCTAAGTTAAAAATAATTATTTAAGATAGGTACCCAAAAATGTCCAAATATGCATGAGCAAAGAGTCAACCGTTCTTCCCTATTTGCTATTCATTTGGATTCTAATCATGCCAGAATGAGAAAAAAATAGGACAGAAAAAAAAAAAACCCACAAACAAAAAAAGTCTTCTATATTCTTGTGAGAATGACTGAATAAGCAATTTTGGTATTATACAGAATTAACCAAATTTCTGTATTAGACGGCATACAAGGTCTGTCCGGAGAAAGTCCAGCCACTGTTAATATAGTAAGAGCTGTTTGCACAACATCAGTGTAACCTGGCAGCCAAGGAGAGTAGATTGGAATGTGTGTGTGTGAACAATGATGACTTCACTGTACTAGTCAGTGGGGGTGGTAGATGCTGTTGAGTTGAGCATCTGTAGTGTGTGGCCAGTGCAAATGACTGAGCAAGTAGAGCAAAGAATCTGCATCAAATTTTGTGTTAAGCTTGAACATTCTTCCACGGAAACTACCCAGATGATTCAGAAGGCCGCAGGTATGGGCAACTGGTGATTGGCAGCTTCATCACGACAATGTGCCCACTGACATATCAAATCTCACATCTCCTGCCTAGTTTTTGGCAAAACATCCAATCACTCCGGTGACTCAGGCCCACTACAGCCCAGATTTGGCACCCTGCAACTTCTGGCCTTTCCTAAAACCAAAATCATCTTTGAAAGGCAAAAGAGATTTCAGACTGTCAATGAAGATTCAGGAAAATAACATGGGGCAGCTGATTGCAACTGGGAGAACTATGTGAGGTCCCAAGGTGTCTACTTTGAAGGGGACTGAGGCATCATTGTTCTATATACAATGTTTCTTGTATCTTCTTCAATAAATGTCTTTTTCATATTACATGGCTGGATACCTTGTGGACAGACCTGGTATAGCAAGAAAAGTATTAGGTTAAAGTTGAACCCCTGAATATTAAGGCCAATCACATAATAGAGAAAAATCCCTAACTGCAACTCTTGCTAGTAAGTGGAAATGGAAAGAAATACAACTATATTATTCATGGGTAAATGATTCCAACACTTTATATGTTTGACAGGCAGGATTAGGGGCAACTACTACTGCAAAAATGTCATTTCCAAGTTCTTAAGGAATTATAACGCCTACAGAGGCAGACCCAGTGATTTCCTCCACCACGCCCACTACTTGTTTCAGAAAACGTTCCTGACGCCCCCAAACACGGCTGAAACCTATCACTCCTCTTCTCCCATATGACTCCATGCATAGTGTGATCCCTGTTCTTAATCTCATTTTATTGAATCTACGTGTGTATGTTTGGATTCCACATAAGACTCCTGGAGGGCAGAGAACATTTTTGCTGAACTCAATTAATATTCTAGAATAATTCACACAGAGTAAGAGAGAGAATTTCTCCTAATAGTTGTTTAAGTAAAACAGCCAGAAGCCACTGGAAAGGAACTTCAATAACTACTAAATTAGGAAAAACTTAAACCCAGAGACTTGCTCTGGAAAGCACTCTTTTGAGGTATTAATTTCTGCATGTGGCTTTCCTGAGCAGGAACTATATCATCACTAAGACTACATTAGGGACACAGATAACACAGAGTTAGAGTACGGGGCGGGGGGCAGTAGCCATATTAGACAGAAAAACAAAATTAAGACTTTGTTTCCCATAAGCAATGATTAGAGAGTGAGTCTCAAAGTCGGGGAATACTGCTGCCCTTTAGGGAGCATTTGGGGATTTGTGGTACGCACCACGGTTGTCACAATCTCTGGCTAAGGCCAAGGATATGAGCCACTCTGCCACAGGCAGGACAGTTCTGTACAATGAACAAATGTCCCTAGCTCTACACCACTTTCGAATGAAGGAATAAACTGATTTGTAAATAGCTGGGCATACAATGTAACAAAAAAAATTAATTATTAAAGTCATTTTTGCATGGTTTTAGTATGCATTAAAAATTTCACGAATGTAGCTACCATATAAATACAGATTGTTTTGTATGAAACTTTACTGAGAATTATCCATTCTCTTGATTCTCTAGTCGGGAAACAAATATATAATATATTGTTGATTCATACATACTGTAATTCCTGCTGGGTTCAATGTTTTGTCCCTCATTAGGAATGCAGAGTTCAACGCCTGATGCCTGACTTGCACTGACTAAAGCAGAGTCTTTAGCACACCCACAAATAAGGTGGGTGGGGGGGTAATAAGAGTACAGTACGGACTGCAACCTGCTCTTTAATCTGAATTGGCCACACCATCCAATTCATTTACAGAAATTGTCATTCAATTAGTTCCTAGTCTCTCTGGTGGAATGACTCCTATTGCAGACACCTGGGGTGACTCTGCCCTAGACTGTCCAGTGGAGGCCTTAACTGGTTATAAAAAGTTGTAAAATACATGAAACAGTTGCCTATGTTTCCAGATTTTATGACCACCCTGCAGAGCCATCCTCTCTTAACTGGTCTCTTGTCTACTGCCTCACCCTCCTTAAACCATTATCTAATACTACCAAATCATAACAAGAACTGCAGTTTAGTTTTTGAAACTGCAAATCTGATTATGTCCCAAATATCAGGCATATATACTACTCTCTCAAGAGTGTGCCAAGTTTCAGAGTTGGAGGGTATTGTGTTAGCCCTTTTTAAGAAAAAAGAAAAAAACGGACAAAGGCAGGAAAGAAGAGCGACATGGCTATTGTCTCTGGGCTGTTGCCACCCTGGCTTTGACCCACTGCCCTCCCCTCCAACTGCATTCGTCGTCTTTCCTCTGACATGAGCCTTGCTCCGCTTATTTAACACTTACAATCCTCTGGTCAAAGCATTCTATTGCCCATCTATCCTCCACTTGTTTATGCCATTCCCCCCCCCCCCCGAATGCTACCATCTCAAAGTATCTTCCTCCTCGTAAGTTGTTCTCAAAGGTCCTACGATCGAATTCACCACTCCTTACCTTATTATAAATTTAGATTTCTGCCAAATTTTAACACTTCATTGCATTTAGCTTACATATGATATGTATCTTCACTAGAGCTTCAAGCTCCTGAAAGCACAGATGTGGCTTTTCCTTTGTTTTTATACACCAAGTCTCTAGTATACAAAAGAGACACAAAGTGTGGGTTGGTGCTTAGAGGACACCCTATATTGTTTGCTAAACCTGTGCAGAGCTCAGGATTCCTTCAAAGATTTGGATACTTGGCTCAAGGAAATTGACATAGGAAATTCCTGCAATTTCCAGGGGCTCATAAAATTCCTGAAGGGTAACAAGGAATCCCTAGAGAATCCCCTCACCCTAGTTTTAGAACAGTCTATCTGCCCCCTCCCCCAGCCTCTACCCTTGCAACTCGAGTAAGAGTTTTCAAGTTACTCTTGAATATCTTAGGCTAAATGCACCAGAAGTTTATTTTTTTCACCCTTAAGAACAATAGGCGGGCCAGTTAAGACTAAAAACAAAACGTAATGAAACTAATAGTATTTCTCTCATCCCTTATCAGGTCCACAAGACGAGGAAAGTCCCAGGGCCATGACAAACAATGCTGACCTTTACGGCTTATAAATAAAAATTGTAGCAAAGCTGCATTTTTTTTTTTATATGAGAGCATCAACTGAACTAGCGCATTCCAAGCTTTCCTTGTCCAATGAAAAAACCTACAGAACTGAGCCTCACCGGTCTCCAGACCCCTGGTCTATTCTTACCCCTAAACCCAACTTTTGGAGCGAGCTTCTCCAAACCCTCCGCCGCCACAAGTCACGTCACCTTTACGTTTTCTTTCTTGCCTATGAAAAGGGCTCTGCACGGATCTTGAGCAGGGATGCACTGGCCTTCCCGGACTCCAGGCCGCCGGGGGGCTGAGCTCGCGGTGGCCGGTGCGACTTTCCCCACGCGCCCCTTTTCTCTTGCGCCGTCAGAACCTCCATCCGCCGACGCCTCCCGTGCTCAAAGAGGCGGCATGCTATATTACGGCACTGTCCGCCCCACGAAGGGAAAGACTAAGAGACTGGTACCTTTCGGAATAGCGCAGGAGTTCCGCATCGAGCTGTTCTCGGATACCGGTGCGTTTCCTGTGAAGGTAGCGCGGCGACAGCGCGATGTGCCTTCGGTGCGGCCCCGCCACGAGGCAGGAGTAACGGCTGTTCAGCAGTGCACAAGCGGCAGCGTAGGTCGGCAGCTCTAGACAAGGCAGGACGCCGGCGGGCCCCACCACCGGCCCCTCGGAGGCCGCTTTTGGCCGCGGAGCCTCCGAAGAACCTGCAGCCATGCTCCTTGTCAGGTTTCCCACGGCGCGCACCAGTGACGCAATCATAATCCCCTATTTCCGGACGCAAGTTATACGTCATCTACCATCTACCACGCCCCTTGTACATTTCTCTCCTTGAGCTGCATTACACAGCTCTGACCAGCAGGGGGCAACCACTTTTTCTCACTTGGACAACTCTGGGAGCTTGGAACCTGTGGCTCCCTATTGAGCATGCTCCAAGGCCAACAAACATCGCGTCTCTTTTAAGGACTAGCAAACCTGCGTTTACGCTAACGTTCTCTTTGGATTTAGTATGTATATTTAATAGTTCACACTTTAGTCACTTCCAATAGTAAAGTGGTTTGGTAGATTCTACAAGCTTATGGAATATATTTTCGACTGGGAACCCAGTCCTAAAAAGCAGCCCAGATGCCTCAACTGCAACAGCACGAGAACATCCCATATCTCTCTCCAGTCCATGTTCTCTCCTCGTTCTGTAATTGCTAATTCAGGAAATTGTACTACTGGTTTTCCAAATGGTTCAGTGCAGCTGTTATCCCTTGCGGCTCGTGGCCCCCCACACAACAAACCCACCGCAAGGCCTGTAGGGACGGAGCCAAAACATTACTCTCTTCAGACCCTTCTCTCTGTCCTTGCTTCCAAAACTACAGAACTGTGTATGGGAGCTTAGCCTAACTGTCAAGAGGGCACTTTGGAGCAGCAACATTTTCTCTGTTACACAGATATGACCCAGGACTTCCCCTGTTTAAAGCCCTGCACACAGACATCCATTTTCTTCAGCATAATACAAACTCCTTAAGTTTATATTATATAGCCCTTAAGTTACAGAGCCATTATATGATCCCCGCCAGCAATTTCTTTCATCACACATGACATTATCTGCTGGACACCACCCATGCTCCTTGATTTACTTTCGGACCATTCTTTCTCTCTCTCCAGTCTTATTCTGTTCCTTCTACCTGAGAATGTGGTAGCTTCTCTCATATAGGAAAAATTCTACTCATGCATTAAATTTTAGCTTAAACAAGGTCTGTCTGGAAAAAGTCCAGACATTGCTCATGTAACAAGAATAATTTGCACAACATCAGTGTAGCTTGGCAGCCAAAGCGAGTGGACTGAAATGTGCATGCGTGAGCAATGACAGCTTCACTGTACTAGTCAGTGGGGGTGGTTGGTGCTGTTGAGTGAGCATGAGTACTGTGTGGCCATCGCATTCAAAATGACTGAGCGAGTAGAGCAACAAATCTGCATCCAATGCTGTGTTAAGCTTGAATATTTCTCCATGGAAACTATTTGGATGATTCAGGGGGCTTTTGGGGATGATGCAATGAGTGCAGCACAAATAAAAGTGTGGCACAAATGCTGCAAGGTTGACCAAGAATCTGTTCAACGTGATCCATGTTCAGGAAGGCCTGCAACAAGCAAAACACCTGAGAATGTTGAACGTGTACAGGCTGCAATCAACAAAGATTGGTGACTGAGTGCAAGAGCTAATCGCCGATCTCAGAATTCCAAAAACAACTGTCTGAGATTGTGATGCAGGATTTGGCATGAATCGTGTCGTAGCAAAATTCATTCTGTGGCTTCTGCTACCAGAGCAGAAGAAATATTGTGCTGCACTTGCTAATGCCTTGATTTAAGCCACTACTAATGAACTGTATTTCTTCAAGACAGTCATAACTTTGAAGGGAATTGAGGCGTCATTGTCCTATGTACAATGTTTCTTGTATCTTCTTCAACAAATGTCTCTGTTTTTCATATTACATGGCTGTATACTTCCTGGACAGGCCTTGTATTTTACGTTCTTTTTTCTCTGTAGCGTTTCTTACCATCCTATCCTCTTCTCCCATTAAATATTGGGTAGTTCCTCATCTTTGTAAATTACCACCATCAAGTATGTATTTGTTCTGTGTTAATTGCCTGTTTGTCAGCTCCTTCACAAGACCCCAAGCTCACTAAGGCAGGGACATTATATGTGTCTTTCACCACTGCACCTCCTTGTATAACTCAAAAAATGTATCTTCAATGAATAAATGAATGAAAGAAGTAGGTGATAAAGAGCTCACGGTCTAAGTGAGGAAATAGAAACTAAACAAATGTATAACGTGGATTACACTGTATAAGTGCCAAGAGAATTGCATAGCAATTAGCTGTGTGAGTACTAACACACTTGCCACTTCCCATAGCCATAGAAAAAAGTCTCTAATCTCTCTTTTCACACTTACAAAATAGGGACAATGATGTGAGCAGCTGTGTGGTCTTGGTTCTTGACTTCTTACAGGAAAGATTTCACAATACAAGTCCAGGTGATTTTGAGAGTATGTTTATTAAAGCCGGGGACAGTGAAACAAAGGAAGGGCTTCAGATAGAAGAGGCAAGATCATAGCAGCAGGGGTGAGCCTGGGCGGATCGGCCTTGGCCCTTTGGAAATGTGAGGAAAAGCTGAGCATAGGTGTCGATACCTTGGCCCTTTAGAAAAAAAAGTTGCAGAGGCAAAAAAAGTGAGTCAGTTGGGCTATGTGGACTCAGAAGACAAATTACTCGGCTGGAGAAAAAAAGCAAAGATGTGCGCCTTACAAAAGAAGGGACAGGGGGAAGGCACGGGCATGTGCTATAGAGAGAGAGCTCACACTGGGTCCTTTGCCTGAAGAGTTTTTATCTGTTTTCTAAAGGCAAGAATTTTAGGGAAGGTCTCAGGGGAGGATCTCCATAGTATACTCATCAGCTTTCTAGGTGTGTCCTTCAGGGCCATGGTCTCTGCTGATTGGTTAGTGTTAGGGAAAGGGGTAGTTGATTAGTGCATCTGGTCCTGATGCCAATCATGGCATCTCTTTGGTTTTGTTGCTTTTCTGGGCCTGGAGCTGAAACACAATTGAGGTCTGGATGTTATCTCTGTCTCTGTGGTAAACAGACCCACGGCTTTGTGTCTAAAACTATTTGATGCTGACCAGAACCCTATTGTCCTGAGGGCTTAATGTTTAAGGGAGTGGATGTGCAAGGGAGAAAGGGGCAGCTGAGTCAGGGTTTTGGATGGGGCCAGTTTGAATTAGCCATTTGTTTCCCCATTCTACTTGCCAAGGAATTTTTCTAGTTCCTTACTATTCTGCCTCTCTAATACTTTCCTTGGCTACTATAGGGATGATAAGGATTTCAGATAAATTAAGTAAAAAGCATTTTCTTTAGTTTCTTTGACTTCAAATTCAGCATGATATGATAATGGGATGAAACTGCTCCCAAAGCCCAATGATAAACATGTGAAGTTCATAAACGGGAAATGTACCAGCCTTTACCTTGGTTTATGTTGGAAAGTCCTGCAACTGCCCTGTTGGAACTTCAAAATCTGAGGAAGTTTAAAACCTCCTGATGCCTTAATGACACCTCGAAACAATTAAATCTAAACCTCTTCTTGCAGGCAAGGTGCCTCTAGATTACATGCAGGTTATCTGAATGAAAACTGTGTGTCCAAAAGCAGTTCAGCAAAATAAGCACACAAACCACACACACACACACAAATAAAAACCTAAAACAACAACAAAAACAACAACAATAACAAAAATGACAAGCAGGACATTAGGATAATTCAGTCAAAACAAAACTTATCTGAAATCAACTGCCCCAGTAATGAATTTCTGCAAATTTTAAATATGGAGTAGTTCTGTAACCATTTCTGTGTTCATAAGCAAATTAGAGGTTTCACTGTTTGATTGTGAAAATTGTTTTTTTAGTGTTTAGGATTCTGGCCTGATAGCCACCATGCACACTCTGCGTGATTTTAAAGAGTGAAAATGTGATTCAGCCTGTACGTAAATATTCACCATTATGAACTTGACCAAATTAACCGTTTCTGCTTCTCACGCAGGGAAGAAGAAAACAGAAGTACCGTGCGACCTCTCCTACCTGCCTCCCGGTTCACATAATACACAAAGCTTATCGGACCCTAGTTGGGCTGCACCCTTTTCTTTGTCTCTAAAATTTGATCAAAGTGTCACAGTAAGACAGGCCTTGCTGGTCGCTGTCTCATTTTACATTTTGCAACCTAGGCTGTTATTGAAAATACAGAGAAATGAAATGATTCAAAGGCAAGTTTGTGGTAGAAAATCAATCTCATTTCTGCAAGAAGAAGGTTTGAAATGACTTTGAACGCATGTCCACTGACCCCAGAGATAACTTCTCCTTCCACAGTCGGCCTTTCTTTTTTGCCGTTTCCCTCTCCATTACTCACACACACACACCCTATTGTATTAGCATCTTTCTGTTCCTCACAATCAAAGAATCTCTGGAACAATTAAATGTGCAATAATTAATAGTCTGTTGAAAGAAATTACAAGTAGCTTGTGCTGCATGCTCCAATTTTTATAGGAAATGTGTTTTTTCCTATAAAAAGAATCTGAATGTATAAATACCATGTGTTAATATTAGTTATCTCAAGAGTGGGTTTATGGTTTTTATTACTTGTTCAGATTTTCATATCTTATTGTAATGTGTCTGCATTGTTTCATCCTAGAGGGAAAGAATCTCTGTTATTGAAGATTTTTGTTGTTATAAAAATCCTCTATTTTTAGACTACTTAATATACAAGGCCCCCAGAAGTAACGCCTGCATGAGTGTGGTTGGTAGGGTAGTAACATGGGTGTAGTAATTTATAGTTTTAATTTGAACATTTCACCTAAAATATCATATGGCATGCTTGACTGTGATATTGTTACATTTCAGAATTACATTCTTATGATTTTTTAATAAAAAAAAGGGTGTTATTTGTGCCAGACCCTGCAGTGCAAGGTGAAGAGCTTGCGTATTTAATTCATATTGTTTGAGTCTGAATCCTGGCTTTGGCCACTTACTGAGTATGACATTAGGCAAATTTCTTTCCTTTTTTAAAGATGAAGTTATTAGAGTAAATTTTAGTAAAGAAATTGAATTAGGAAGTTTGAGCAATACGTAAAGCCTTAAATAAAAGAGTTTCATATACAGGCATTTGGGTGAAAATGCCATTGCATCAGTTGGCTTTTGCTG